AATTACCAATAATTGGTAAAAAAAGTGAGATGGTAAAGGTACCAACGGACCTTGGTAAAAATGCCGTGTTTTTTTTTTCCAGTGAACTTTTGAAGTTCCCAAATTTTGTCCGACCCTTTCATTGGCTCGACCCACTGGGCGGCGGTTTGGGAGAGGGGTCGGTCGAAACCGCGGACCGGGCCTCTTCTTCTTTTGCACTCATTCCGGGTCCGGGGCTCTAATATGCCGGCATTATCCGGGCGTATTATTCAGGGAAATCTCATCACTTGGGCCCCCGCGTGGAAACGAACGCTCAAAGAGAACGAGAACGGTGGCGGTCGGGCTATTTCCTAGATTAAATTTTGGCGTGTTTCTTCGCTCTCTGTGAGTGCTTCGTGGCGGTTGACTACTAGACCGCCTAATAATTTGGCTTCGACACGACGGGTTTCCTCTTATCAAAATTTTGAAAAGAACACCCTATGCCTGCCAACATACGAGGATTCTAGGGGGGCGTTGGGGGTACTCCCCCCTCCTTTCACCCTAAAAAAAGGGGGAAACAGACAGTTATATACGGTACAGTTTTTCTGGTCTAATATACTTTAAAAGGGAATGAAACAAATTGGTTAAAATTTGGAAGACGGAACCAGGAGCACTGCCATGTTGCTACGATTGTGCAATTTTGGTAAGGGTTTGTGAATGATGTAGAAAAATCTACCAGATGTAGCTGAATCAACCACTGCAAGCCGCGCTTCGATATCTGAATCCTATGTGTCGGCCTCCTATGGTGTAGTGGTTGTAGCGCTTGCTCTATGATCGGGAGGTCCCGGGTTCGATTCCCGGCCAGGCGACCTGAGTTTGATGGTCTCAAACAATGGTTGCCTGGGACTGGTTCAGTAGGGACGGAGGGGGGATGGGACTAATAGCGTGGGATTAGCCCTTGTGGGCTATTTGAAGAAGTAAAAAAAAAAAAAAAAAAAAAAAAAAAAAAAAAAAAAAAAAAATTTCACCCCTTGCAACAAAAGTATTGCAATGGACCACTAGACAAGGTACGAATTTCAGCATTTTGATACATGTTTCTTAACCAAAATTTCACGTAAAACACAACGCGCATAACGAAAATTACCGAAATCAACTCCTTCCGAAGATATATAATGATTCTTTTTGAATTTAAGCCACCCGCTCATAAAAGCCCAATGCTCTACGGGATTCACATCGCGCGCTAAACGTTACCATGACAGTCTCTGCGATATAAAAATCTGGCAGCCTCGATCTTGACGCTTTGGCTCAGCTACAGCAAATTGCTTGTAGTTTGAACAACCACGCGTTTTGTCCCCCTGTGAAGTCGCAGAAAAAGGTTAGCAGACATTTCGTCAACGATTTTTTGTCCGCGCACCTGTTTTTCCAATAGTTTACGTCCACGCGTTTTTCCGGCAGGAGAATTTTGGTCTACTTAATTGAGACCCACAGTTAATTGGCCCACAAGAAAATCCCAAAGTGTTATACCGGACCCTTATACACCCCTTGACTTGTCTCAGCTAAAGGCTCTTAGATTTTTCCTGTCTACGATATTTTCACGACGGCGCGGCGGCGGGCGAGGAGGGCGTCCAGCGAGACACGCGCATTTGCGCCTACAAACCTAACAGGGATACTTCACGCATCGCGCAATGCGTGAAGTATTCCTGTTAGGTTTGCAGGCACCAGTGCGCGTGTCGCGCTGGCAGCACGCTGTTTCAATCTGTTTGGCTCTAATATTTAAATTCGCTGAGTCAACGTTTCTCAACTTATGATTTTGAAATGTTTGCACACTCCACATGGATTACTCTCATTTATATTGATGAAAATAAGAGTTTTAAAAGAAAATGTACCGTGCGCTTTGTAAATATTAAGGTGGTTCCATGTCAAATTTAATGATTTCTAAAGCAGTTTAATTTTTTCTTATAACTTTGTGCTTTTACTGTGCTGCAGCGTGGAGTATGCGTAACCGAACGCTCAAAATTGGGCGTATTTGAATGTAAAAGATCGACTTACAAATATATTAAAACCAATGATTGCATCCTCCTTGGTTTTCTCTCTCTTTTATTCATTTTTGTATGGTTCTTTTTAACACCACCACGGCTAATTGAGATTTATGCCGATGCCATCGCTTGGAAAAGGTTTTACAAATATTTGTCACGTCTCAAACATGTAAATGTTTTTAAAAAGAAATAATATTATCATATGAAATTATACATAAGGTATATTTTATATGGAAAATTTAAGGATAGGAATGAAACCAAAAACGACAATTTGAAAAAATGAATCAAAAGAAGAAAGTAACATTTTCTTTGAAAATGAGTTACCATTACAACACCTCCTTCTCTCTCAATTTTCTCATTTCGATATTTACAATATATTTTACGTACGGACTAAAATATAACCCTTGAACCTGCCTAGTCACTGTTGATTATTTTACGCGACGACGTTAACCACTGGACATAACAGGTGCGCGGACAAACAATCGATGACGGAATGTCTTGGAACCCAGAAAAACGACTCCGATGAGTGACACGTGCCATGAACGTTAATTGACAATAGTTCACACGCGTAAATGAAGTTCATATATTGAATTAAGTGTCATTGTGTAAATTTGCTTGGTTCTCCAGACACGTTTTTCGATTCTGTTGACCTCCAGATTTTTGAATCGGCGCAGCGCGTCAAATATACCGAAATTATGTTTTTAGTCTACGAGAATTAGAAAACAAAACCAACAGAAGCGACAACGTTTGCTGTGATACCATTTCAATGTCAGGAGAAAATTTAACAAAAAATCAAACCCGTTGTGTGAGGAGAGAATTGGTGAAAATTGAGTATGACGCGGTTTTTCCTTCTCTGAAGAGAGAACGTGATTTCAGAACGTGGATCCTTTCGAATCGGTGAGTTGCAAACTCTAGTTGCTCCCTATAATTCCTTCCAACATGAGCGTCGTGCTGCATTCAATCCTTATAGGTTTCTTTTTCATAAAGTCAGTGGAAAATAATCAGGTACGGTATAGTCTGAGAACCTGATCAATCCGAAAACAAGTTGGTTCGGTCCGCTTGATATCTCTTATCAAAAGCTTGCCAAAAATTTCAACACTCCAATTTTTTCAGCAGATACAATTATCTCCCTACACATAAGGAAAACACCATGATAAAAATCGAACTGCAAGCCAATCATTGGATGATGTTTATTATCAATTTTTCCTTATTTGATAACATACACTGGGAAAAAAAAACACATCGGATCTAGAGTCCAGACTCTTGAGAACATTGACGAGAAAAAGGACTCTTGATTCAATCAGATTTAAGCTTAAATCAAAAGGAAATCCGCTCAAATTAAGAGGTTCGGTTCTTGATTTAAGCTTAAATCTGATTGAATCAACAGTATTTTTTCTTGTCGATGTTTTTAAGAGTCTAGACTCTAGATCCAATGCGTTTTTTTTCCAGTGCAGCCAGCCAAATTTGACACTCAAATGTATCTCCCTATATTCTCTTTTGTTTCCTAAAATATTTTTACCTGATCTTAATCATAATCCGTATTTATCCTTAGTCGAGGGCGTAATTACATTCAACAATTGGACGTATTTCTGTCAAACGGGACTATGTGCATTAAGACATGAGCCCTGGTATCCATAAGAATACACGCATAACAGGACTCACGTCATAATGCACATAGTTCCGTTTGATAGAAATACGTCCAATTAAACATAATGGTTTTTATTTTTGCATGAAAAAGACTGGTTGAACTTCAGACGCCTGACAATTTCACGTTGCTAACGAATTATGTTATGTTGCGTTCAGATGGATTACCAGCCAGGCAAGAGTTACTGCACTACTTAACAGATGTTCTCATTTCCATATGAAGCATGCTAAAAATATTAAATAAACTTAATAAAAAGAGATTCGTTAATATCCGACTGTAGAGTTGGTAAATTAAAATTTTCCATTTAGGAAAACACCAAAATCAACTTCGGTAAAATCGATAGTGGATGTTTATTTTATCATTTGACAAATAAATAATGTGCTCAACGCAAAAAAGTTCGTTCTATAATGCACGGTACTTGTAAAGTCGATCACAATTAGAGCAAGTGACACATAGTTAATTAATCGTAATGAAAACTTAAATTAGTGTAGTTACCGATTCAATACAGGTAGACATTGATAAATGGCAGTCGGAAAATTTGAATTGAAAATGCAAGAATTGCTGGTTCCTCAATTACGAGTCAAATTTGGGCATTTTTGATACTTGAGTTCACCGTGGTGTAAGTTTTGAAAGTAAAATATGCGTTGTGGTATTTCATAGATCTACTGCTCGCAACATCAAAAATGAATGACTGGTCTTTCTAGCTTTTCTCGGTTTCTGAGTTGCTTCTACGCATTTTTGTTCCACGTGTCATTGACCTATCGAGAAATTATTTGCAAGTAAAAATACGTACATGGTTTATTGACCCATTCGTGTTTCATCCAAGAAAATTGACAACAACGGAAATCTCGATTGGAGTTTTTCCAAGTCTGCCTGCAAACGGGAGAGTATTGCCATCACTACAGAAAAAGTGTGCGGCTCTCTGATTGGTAGGCTATCATGGATCCCAAAGTTGGACCAATGCAAACAAACCCCAGCCCCTCCGTTCCTAGTTTGGCCCAATGTAAACAATCAATTTGGCGACAAAGTTCTAGACGTGATTTCGGATGTTATGTGTAGACATTATCTAATATACAACTTCTGAATTGAATTCGGATCGAACTGAGATGGATATTTTTGCCGAAAATTAACCATTGAGTGTGATTAGCATTCATTTCTCAGCCGATAACACGTATTCCTTTGGGTCGGGTTCGTTGACGTTGGTCCAACTTTGGAGCTCCATGATAACAAACTGATGAACCAATCAGAGAGCGGCACATGCAGAGATGGCAATACTCTCCCGCATACAGGTACTCTAGTTCTTCCTAACCACGACAATATCCTCCGATCTTTTTCTCAAACGACATCCACGTTGTTTCCAGGGGAGCACTCACAGAGAATTGGACGTCCCGGCCCTAGAACTCCCTATCCCAGTAGAGGACGCCCTTACGGATTGCCGTATCCTCCTGGCAACCTTCAACGGTCTGGACAGGTGCCCCCGCTCCAGTTCCTGTATTCGTCCCGTCACTCAAGATGCTACGGAAAAATGTGTTGAGGCTCACGCATGCTACTTAAGGTGAAACACTGTTTTTCCGCCATTATTCTTTAATAGCGCTGATAAATGCAAAATTACGCTGAATAAAGTAAAATGGGGACATTTACTCGTTTCCCGTGGAGTGCCTGTATACGGGAGAGTAGTGCCATCTCAATCCTTTTACTACAGATTGGCGGCTCTCTGATTGGTCGGCTATCATAAAGCCCCTAAGTTGGACCAATGTTAACAAACATCAGCCCCGCCTCCGCTCCTGTTCGGCCCGATGTAAACAAACAAGATGGCGACAAAGTTCTACCAAGTTCTAAACGTGATTATGGATGTGATAGAAATTTTTGTATGATCAACTTCTGAATTGAGTGTGGATCGACCTTTAATGGATATTTTTGCCGGACCTTTGAGTCTGATCATCATTCATTTCTCAGACGATAATACGTATTCCTCTGGGTCGGGTTTGTCTACATTGAGCCAACTTTCGAGCTCCACGATAACTTAAAACTGATGAACCAATCAGAGAGCGGCACGAAGATGGCAACACTCTCCCAAAATTGACTCAAACAATTCAATTTTTCACAAGAATGTACCTGTTCACTTTTTGTCCAAATTTTATCTGAATTTTGCATGAGATCAGGAGAAAATCAGTAAAATTTTCGATTAAAACAGCCCCATATTTTCTCGGTAAAAATGCAATTTGCAAGGGAAAATTTGGCACTGTATTTACACGTGTGTTTGGCACAAAATTCATAAAGGATGATGTTTTCTCTTTCTTTCTTAGATGTGATAATTTGAAATTAATTCATAACTGCACGCGGGTGAGCGTGTTAAGGGAGCGACTCAAATGGGACTGTTACAAACCTCGGCTACAACAAAAAGGAGAGATGTTCCTTGCGGAAAATAGCTCAAAAATTACGATGAACGCATTGGAAAAGTCTGAAATACACTTCTAACTTCAAAATCTGCGTGAGAAATATGCGTTTCTTAAGCTTCCCGCTTCGAAAAGGATACAACGGCACAGGTGAACATTTCGTACGAGAAGTCGTTCCATCCAACCAATGTACACCAGGATGCTGCGCAATATTCAAAATGACCGACGCCAACTCGCCAAGACACGTAACGAGACGGGATTTTATCAACCCGGTTTATCATTTGTACATCATTTTATGTACACATTTTATCATATGTACATTTTCCTTTCGTTGATAGAGAGCAGTCTCAGTAAAGTCTTTCCTCACGATTTACATGCGGAAGCGTCGGCCGTGTTGAATCTGTGTAGCATTCTATAGTTGCAAGTGTTGGATGGAACGACTCCTCTCACGAGATATTCACCTGTGCCGTAGTATCGTTTTTGAAGCGGGAAACTTTAAAAAACGCACATTTCTTAGGTAGATTGTGTGAAGTTATAAGAGTATTCCAGACTCTTCCGATGCGCTCATCGTGATTTTTGAGCCATTTTCTATTAAAAAAATTTCTAATTTTTGAAGCTTTACCTGAAGGTTATAACAGGCTCATTGTAAGGTCCTTTCCTTCGGTCCGCTCTGCGCAGGCCAGTTCATATACTCCTATCATCCTATGTCCATACCCTGACTTTAATTTTTTTTCTTTAATATACATATATAAACAGGTTGCCGGCAGTAGAAAAACGGGCCTGTCCGGAACCACGGGAGCCTATGTGTTATTCGCTGAACCCTTGTAAGCCAAAAAATTGCACAATCAAATGCGGAAATAGGAGGAAGGATTTATATTCAGTCGTTAGCGCTACGACCGCGGACCTTGCTTCAGCCGCTATTCAAGCCCGGACGGAAGTTTAAACGAAACTTGCACTGCGGGCCGATTATTGAAAGTGATAGACAAAGCTATAGACAAAGACGACAAAAAGGATTTGGAGGGATCCTATTAGTGGAAGCAGGTGGTGGCAATGGACAAAGGAGGTAGGTAATGGACTAACTAACGGCAACCTACTAAAGACCCGACAGTTGGTCCATCATTTTCTTCCTTAGTCTATAAGAACCAACCATGTCAACCAATAAGATCGCTCCATACTCCCTATGTCTTCTTTGTCTATCGCTTTATCAATCAATTTCAATAATCGCCCCGCTGGTCAGCGAGAAGAGACTCTTCCAGACCTACCCAACCGGCTGTAACTGATCTCATCCCATTCATTTCCATTCGACGGGGATACAAGAATGAACATCAAGATGGATTATGGAATCTTCGACGTGTAAAACTGTCAACTCACTGAAGCCTACCTTAAAGTTTTAAAAAATATGATTAATTTTATATTTTTCCCCGTTTTTTCCCCATTGCAACATATAACTGTAATCTTTTCGCGAGTATAGTGGCTTGTTTTCTTTCAATTTTTATTCCTTTTTATTTTTTTATCATCAAATTTCTGTCGACGAAGTTTACGATACGTTTATAGATCATCTGTTTCAATACTCTGTACAGATGATAAAAAAAACTGGATACACAAGGAACTATCCACCTCACTTAGCTCTATAAGAATTCTTTATATACTCCGAAACCAATGTAATCGTATGTTAAGTTTTTGCTAGAGTTTTGTTAAAAAAACACCACTTTTCATAATCCTACGTCACAGGCCTCCCTAAACATTACTCATAACAAAGTTTCTTTTAACCTTTCGGCAGTCGACGCTTAGATTGGGCTAACGATAACTGATGACCGCAGAGTTGAACAATTGGTTAACAATCCTAACCTTATTTTCAAAAACTAGCAGAGCAAAGTGCTCATCCCGACATCCATCAGTCATCATTCAACGAACTTAATTTGATTTTTTGCTCAGTAAATTGGTCATCGACCATCATTAGGTGAAAAGTAGCATTGACTAGAGTACCTATATAGGGAGAGTATGGACATGTCGAAAATTTTGAGGTTAGGTGATGGAGCTCTTAGGGCCGCCAAAAGGGCAGGCAATCCATGAACTCAAATTATCCAGAGTGATTTATTATTACAATTGTAAGGATCTGACGTTGACGAAGCTCGTATTTGACTTCGCTTTTGTATAGCTTTAGTAATTTTTGCAGGAGAATGCTCATGCATAAACATTCTTTTCCATTTTGGTCTGATATTGGAGTTTGAAGATTGGCAGTGACATTTTCCGTTTTCAAAGGTTACCTATACCCTTTTGGGCCCTAAGAGCTACATATTTCGACATGTCCATACTCTCACTGAATATTTCCTCTAGCCTTGACCTCCGAATTTACCTTTAGCATCATTCGATTACACACTGGAAAAAAAAAACCACATTGGATATAGAGTCCAGACTCTTGAAAACATTGACAAGAAAAAGTACTCTTGATTCAATCAGATTTAAGCTTAAATCAAAAGGAAATCCGCTCAAATTAAGAGGCTTGGTTCTTGACTTAAGCAAAAATCCGATTGAATCAAGAGTATTTTTCTTGTCGATGTTTTTAAGAGTCTGGACTCTAGATCCGATGTTTTTTTTTTTCCCAGTGCATTGTAGGGGTCTTTGAAACATATTGCCTTTTCCTCGAAAATAACCTCGATGGAAGCCAAACTCTGTGAAGGCCGAATGACGTAAGACCATCCGCATAAATCAAACCGGAGTTGAATCAGGTGCTCCTGCACTGAGAAAAAACTATGGCTTATAAACCTATTAGAGGTAAATATGGAACACCACTAATAGTAGTACCTCTACATATAATAATAGCACATATACCTTAGTTATGGTCTCTGTACCTTAATTAGGTACAGAGACCTTAGTATGGTTCACAGACCGAGAATCATTAGTTTATTTACGACTATTATAGGTGTTCCATATTTACCACTAATAGGTTTATAAACCATAGCTTTTTCTCCGTGTGGATGAATGTAACCGATGGTTTATGTTGATTTCCGAAGTTTCCGCAAAGAAAAAAAATCCGTGTTACCGCATGAACAGAGTTAACAATTACTTGGAAATAATTTCCACGCCGAAAGGAAAATATTCAGACCCATTACAAAGCGGGCCAGTAAAAATTTAGGTGCCGCCCGATTTTGCGCGCCTTTTCTGGATAACGTGACAAGTTTCAAACGTAGGTTTTTTTTCGGTCTCAGCTGTATCGTTTTGGATTCCTCGTTCCAACATGAGGATTCTGTTGAATTTACTTCAATTCGGTCTCTTTGTGACGTCCACAGTGCAAAAAATTGAGGTACGGTTTTTAGACTAAACGGATGCACAATTTGTAAATCAGATCCTGAAGCTATCAGTGGCGAGGCGTAAATTATCGATTGTCGATATTTCTCCATTTGAGGCTATGGTAAGGAATCGATTATTAATGTGTTCGGTGCGAACACCCTGTGGATACTTTTCCATGGATTTAAGTGGCAGATCAATCGATATATCGTAAAGCATGCCACGCCACTGGAAGCCATCCCAATTAGTAATGAATGTATGGCAGGACTCAAAAGCATTCTTCGTTGACCCGACGTATTCTGTTGTCATCTGATGTTAATGAGGGAAGTCGTTTTTTAAAACAAAAATACTTCTTCTAAAAAATTTTGCGCAAAGGTCCATTTTTCCAAGTTTTGTCAAATAAAATTGGGTGGTACATAGGTGTTGGTACATAAAAGATAAAAATTCTACAAATGTACACGGATCTTGTGGATATTAAAACAATTTTAGTCGGTATTGAAATACTTGATCAGTTGATTGTTTTAAATGATAATAGTTTTAAACGTAACGCGAAGACGACGTCAACAATAAGAATTTTTTCCTGGTTCAATCCTTGTCTTGTGGACTATTGCAACCAGAAACTCGACTAATACACGGAAATGTAAATATTACCATTAAATTACCAAAAAAATTAACCAAATGCGAGTGAAAACATACATATGGCGCGGAGGCGGTCAATTTTTCTGGTGACGCTGTAAGATCTATTGGAGCGAAATATTTCCGTCCAAAACGAGGTAAAATTTATGGCGACTTGGAAAGTATTGCTCCTGGCTAAAATTTGATCAAATGAAGAATGGGAAAATGACATCCAGATTCTATTACTTACATTTCGGAAATGAATTACAAAAAAAGTGTGTAACAGACCCATCAATTCAACAAAGACCCGTAATTTCCACGATATCATTTCCAGCTTTCGAGCCAAAGACATAAAGACGGAGTGCTCGTATCTAAAAGCACGGGGAAAAAGTGAAGCCTGGTTTGGCGCTGGGTGCTTGTGTGAGTGTGTAAATGAGCGCGGGAATCCATGGCGGCAAACGGAAATTTGATTTGAACTTGTCCTCTTAACTTTTCCATATTTCTTCTTCGAAACGTATTTTAAATGCCTAAAACGAATATATTAAGAAAGTTGGGACTGCGTCCTATTGTATTACACCTACTCTTGCTTGGTAATAGGCAGTAATCTCAGATAAAGTTAGTTTTTCTTCTGCTCATGGTGGTTCTGCAGGTTCAAACAGGTCGTTACAGTTCTAGATGACCGTTACTCCCAAATGAAATTAATCGGTCGACGACGGACCAAAGCTAACCTAAAGTTAAAGAAATATGAGTGGGTAAGTGAATTTGGGCAAAAATCAACCTAGAATACTTTGTTTCCGCAATTATTTTATTCAGTTCCCGCCCTACATTTGAATTCAAACTTGTACCGATTTCGCCGCCAATCCTCTAGCCAATAGTAGAGGTGGTTGAAAAGAAGCTTCATTTTTTGCTTTTAGCCCTCCGTCTTTATGTCTTTGTTTCGAGCACACTTAAAAGTACGTTCTTTTATACATCTTGATTTTTTTATTGAATTTTTAATGACTTTCAAGAGAGTTCTTCCCAGCCACAATTTAATTATATGAAAAACAGAAAAATAACCCTTTGACTCTTCACGCACTTTCCAAGAACTAATTGTACAAAAAATGTGCGACAGCCCCCTTTGCATCGATTGGGTCAGTTGCGCCGATCACAGAGTCGTGTTTTGATGTTTGATTATTATAGATCAACAGAAAATAATAAGAGCTGTCCAAAATGGCAACTTTCTACGTTCAGTATTAACCGAGACATCGCCCTTTGAAAAATTCTGTTTAAGATGTCATCCACCGCGGTAGTGAAACCCTTGGTTTCTTCCACCTTGTTTTCATTAGTGACGCACATTTGCACTGGTTATTCAACGTGAAATTCGGATGAAATCAAGGTGGAAGATATCAAGGTTATCACTATCGCGGTGGATGACGTCATGAATTTCTCAAAGCGCGATATCTCGATTAAAACAGCATAGAAAATTGCTATTTGGACGGATCTTATTATTTTCAGCTGATCTAAAAGAATCAAACATCAAAACACGATTCTGTGGCCAACGCAACTGGCCCATTCTTAGCCGTGATCCGTACACGTATTTTCTTCAGCAAGAGGACCCAAGTGACCCACAGCCGTTGGGACTTCCGCGCCTATCCCTCTTAATAGAGGGAGCGTTTACGATAACTGTCGTATCCTGCTGGTTACGTTCCACTACCAGGACGAATGCTCCCGTTTCAGCTCCTGCATACTCCCGATTGGTCAGGTAGCTAAGGAAAAATGCGTAGAAGCTCACAGATGCTTTGCTAGGTAAGCACTCATTCTACCGTACTAATGAAAAACGCCAAACAGACAGTCGAGAATTGTAAAATATCCGTTCGATTTCCAATTTTTCAAGATAATGTTAAAGAACTTGTTTAAAAATTTCGGATTAAAGTACCTAGGGAGAAAATGTCGGTAATTTTGAGGTTAAGTGGTTAAGCTCTGAAGGCCCAAAAAGGCAGCTAATCTATGAAATCAAATTATTCAACGTGATTTGTTAGTAAAATGTTTACGATCCGTCGTTGATAAGGCATGAATTTTATTTTTTTTTTTTTTTCGAGTCGCGGCTGATGATGGGAGCTAAGGTCCCGAAACACGTCCCGTTATTTTAAAAAACAATTTTTACGCAAGTGAGTGTGTTTTTATCTTTGTGTTTTTAAAGAATTTTTAAAGATGAATTTTATAGTTTTTCTCACTCTTCAACTTATAAACACGTATGAACACTTATAAACTCACTCCTTTTGGTGGAAAATAACGCTCATTCATGAATATTCTCACCCATAAAATATTTTCAGTATCCCATAATTCATAACAAATAATTTCAAATAATAATTGAAATGACTCACCACAACCTCATTATAATTTGAGAGTAAGAAAGTTTACTGATGTTGCTGTTTTCTTACCTGAAATAAAACAGAGACAAGGAGTGATTAGTACAATAAATTCAAAGCAGAAGCACATAACGGATGTCAAAGATAAATAAATTAGGTACCTATTTCTGGCTTTGATGTCCTCTCAGAGTGTGATCCTAGCACTATTTTACCATTCTGTTACGTAAACTAGTGTTACAGGACCACAATTTTTGGGTGTTAAAGGATTCATTTCCTATGGAAAATTACTTCATGGCCTCCTGACTCGAGGGATTACAGTGCTTTGCCACTGCAAAAGTAAAGTATGGAAGAAAACTTTCTTTATGTTTGACAAACTTTAGAATAGGTATAAACCTAACTTGAAATGTAAAAACCTGAAACATTTTTCTTCAGAGTTTACAATTTTGTGGAGGAGCAAATCAGTGCAATCCCTCGTAAGGATGTATTATCATGGAATTGTTGACTTTCCCTAAAAATTCATTAAAATGGTCCATTTTAGGACGCTATGTTAAGGATCTCCTCCAGTCTCCTTCTCCATTAACCACACTTTATATCGGTAAAATGGCAGTTTCAATCAATTGTGGTAGTACCCCATTAAATTAGGTTACCAACTCAAATATTGAGGTACTGCCACAATTAATTTGGAATGCCCGGATCATCCAAAGAACTGAGGCACACAGAGAAAAATTTCCACACAAAAGTTTGGTTGATAAGTTTTAGAACACAAAATAACCAGAGCCTCCGGTTGACAATTTAAAGACAAAATGCCAGCTAGTTTTCTTGAAGAAATTTAATAAAAACTACATGGTGAATACCAACGTCGCAATTGGTGGAACGCATTTTCCCAGTCTCTCAATTGTTTTCTGCGCTAAATTCACTGCAAACTGTACCAAAATCAACACAAAATTTATGTTGGTTTGTGTTCTACTTCCTGTATTAACCAAAACTAACCGAAGAACACAAATATTTATATCAGTGTGGTACCACGACTTTAGGAGATGCCCCCACCACTTTTTTCGAGCGCGTCTGGCTCTAGACCAATAGGTCCCGGGTTCGAATCCCGGCGGTGGCGACGAATTTTCAAGGAACTAACGAGTGGATCTGCAGAGGCGCAGACTCCACTCAGCCATAATCCCTGAAAATCTGAACAACCTGGAGCATGGACGTGTACGAACTCTAACCCGATGCTAATTTAAGGTTGCAGAATCTTCAGGTGAATTAAAAACCTCTAATAACTTTTTTTAAAAATAAAAAAAAAAAAAAAAAAAAAAAAAAAAAAAAAAAAAAAAAATCAAGCTGCAGTCGTGATGTGAGCAGATTTTGACTAACTTTCTATGATAAAAATACAGTTTGCCACCCGTGGAAAAAGCGGCGTGCCCGGAGTCAAAGGAGCCTAAGTGTTATTCGCCGACACGATGCGGATCAAGAAATTGCACCGTCGTTTGCGGCACCGAGAAAAAGTCCTTGGTATCAGTCATCAGCGCCAGAACGAGAGATCTGGCTATCCCAGCCATTGCAGCCCGTGCAGAAACCCGTAGGACTGGGAGGAATAATTGAATCTGTTTTCGCTTGAAAACATCTTGAAATTGACACCGCAAGGAGGACCTTTCGATAATGCGTAAGATCGACCGAATAATATAAAATATAATATAATAATATAAAACCTCAAACCTTCCGAAAAATATAATTGTGCTTTCAGCCTCTTAGGCATTCTCTTTTTCATCAGTTCCGTTCGTTATAAATGTGTTTTTTTTTTCTTCTCCTTTTTATTATTCCTGAGATAATCTCTGACTAAAATCAGAGAGCTCTTATCTAGTTTTATTTCCTGCCCATATGTTGATGGTAAATTTCAGCTTAAACCTATCTCAAGGTTGATACGGGATTTAGTAAATGGATTGCATTTTGCAAAAAGGAACCATTGCAATGATGCTAAGATTGTGCAACTTCTTTTGTCTTGGAGGAAATACCAGATTATCCCTTAATAGTTTCTATTTTACTCGCTAAAAACTGTAAATTTATGACAAAAATTACCATCTAAATTTCATAGTTTTTCACAATTTCCGCAATTTTATTGCAAAGGATGAAGTTGCACGATCTTAGCATCATTGCAATGCTAGTGATTCCTTTTTGCAAAATGCAATCCAAATGAAATTCCCTGACATTTCCTTGATTTCCCTGACACACTTTGGTGAAATTCCTTTAAAATTGAGGATATGACAGCTGATAAAGAAGACATGATAAAAAATAGTTTTCAGGCAAAATTTGTTGTTCGAACCTCAAACCCACTCTAGAAAGGAAATAAAGGTGATTTAATTAATTTTTCCCGACACTTTCATCACTTTCCTTGACATTCCCCGGTTTTCCCTGACTTTTTAAAATTCCCTGACATTTCCCGGTTTGCCCAATATTCCCTGACCGTGGCAACCCTACCTCTATCCATCGGAACCATTCGCTTCCACCAATAGGATCACTCCATGTTTCTTTTGTCTTCTTTGTCTATAGCTTTGTCCATCAAATTCAACAATCGACTCGCTGTCTTTGCAAACTCATTTCATTTTCAAGCCCGAACGGCAGAAATGAACCGCATCCGCGGAATACGTTTCGTTTCATTTCACGGGCCGAAACGGGCGAAAGAAACGATCGAAGGAAGGGATCTGAAACGGGGCGAACTGATTGAATTAAATTAAACGGAGCAATTAGAATTAATCGGGGCTGCGGATGCAACTCAGGGGCTGCCTCGGTCTCGGCTAGTCTGGTCTCGGTTGCAGGGCATCGGCGCACACTGGACCGAATCAATAGGAGAAGTCGGACAATATGTGGAAACTTTGAGAGCTTATATGGAGATGTTGCATGTGCGAGGGATTTGCGATTTGACCATTGTTTCTTATGTAAAAGTTTGTAAGAAACACGATGGTGCCACTGGTTTTCTCTGAGATCATCTCCCAAGCTCAAAAAAGCTCTCAGAGTGAGGCTAAAATGGAGGGGATATACCACCCTACCCTGAGAGTCCACCTCTACATCAAAACAAACTCTCCATGCAAAGATAGGGAGCAAATACATTAGCAGGGTTGCAGTGTTTTCAGTTTTGGAGTCCCCAAATAAAGTGGCAGCCCTGTCAATGTATTTGCTCCCTATCTTTGCATAGAGAGTTTGTTTTGATGCAGAGGTGGACTCTCAGGGTAGGGTGGGATATCCCCTCCATTTTAGCCTCATTTTGAGCTTGGGAGATGATTTCAGAGAAAACCAAGGGCACCATTGTGTTTCTCGCGAACTTTTACATAAGAATCAACAGTCAAATCGCAAATTCCTCACACATGCAACAACTCCATTCTCGGAAATACGAAGAAACGAAGTTCAAGAGTGGTCCTATTGGGTTTTTCGTGAGATTTTCTTTCAGGCACACCCCTCGATATTGAGTTTGTGACTATATGAATATAAACATTTGAAATAGCCAAAAAATTCACGTCGGACCTTCTATGGTGGCTCGATCCACTGTGCGGCGCGGCGACGCACGCATTTCAATTAATCCGGGGGAGCACGAATCCCCCGCCCCCTTCCCCCTACCGTACGTGCACCCCGAAAGTATTTGCAATGCGAATCACCTTTGCCCCCCCCCCCGGGGACGCGGACAGCGACGGTAACGAAGTTCGCGGTCACGGTGGGAAAAAAGGGTTTGAGGGGGGGAGGGGGATGTTGGGGAGGCGTAACAGTTAATGGACTATAAGAACGTTTCTCTCTTCTCGAGGGTCGGCCGCCTGGATAGATACCTGCCTGCGTTGTCGGATTTCGAGGTTTTTGTTATTTTTCTAGTGGACCACGTTTAGCAGAAAATATTTAGGAAAGTATTGTTTGTAAAAGCATGGGAACAAGTATTATCCAACAAAAAGCGACATCATAGAGAAAAAAAAAAGAAAAAGGAAAAAAGGGCAAAGAGGCAAAAGGAATTTGCCTTCATTTGAGGAGATGGGCAAAATGAGCTCCCTTAGGTAGGAATAGTTGGACCGCGTTTAGCAGAGAGGAACTAAGCCACATCAGCTATTGCCAAAAACTGAGCAAGTTAATTTTTGACAGGAGATCGTATGAGCGGAATTTTTTGAAAATTTTAAGGGATTTTCTTCGTACTATGCAGAAAATGCAGAGAGATTTGCACAAAAATCCGCACAACCGTTTCCAAGTAAGCAATTATACTGCCCAGTTCATGGCAATAGCTGATGAGGCTTGTTTCTTTTCTGCTTAACGCCATCCAAATTTCATGCGAGATTTGGCGGATTTTCGCGTTCGGATTAGGTTCCTTTTTTAGAAACATGCCTGCTGTCAGTATCACCGTTGAAATTTTGAACAATCAGAATGGAGATGTTACATGTGTGAGGCATTTGCGATTTGACTGTTGATTCTAAGGTAAAAGTTCGCGAGAAACACGATGGTGCCACTGGGTTTCTCTGAAATCAACTCCCAACCTCAAAAAAATCTCTCAAGTTGAGGCCAAAATGGAGGGGCATCCCACGCTATCCTGAGAGTCCACCTCTACATCAAGACAAACTCTCCATGCAAAGATAGGGGGCAAATACATTGACAGGGTTGCCGTGATTTCAGTTTAAGAGTCCCCAAATAAGGTGGCAGCCCTGTCAATGTATTTGCTCCCTATCTTTGCATGGAGAGTTTGTCTTGATGTAGACGTGGACTCTCAGGATAGCGTGAGATATCCCCGGCCATTTTGGCCTCAAGTTGAGAGCTTTTTTTGAGCTTGGGAATTGATTTTAGAGAAAACCAGTGGGACCATCGTGTTTCTCGCGAACTTTTACATGATAATCAATTGTCAAATCGCAAATCCCTCGCACATGCAACATCTCCATTATGATGCAAGTTCACAAAAATGTGTGCAGTTTACTCATCACCATCACCTCATCGTCGTTGCTGTTGCGCAGTTTGTCGTTCATTGTGTCGCACAGAGTACCGATATTTTGGAAAAATTAGTTGCTTTTCGAGGTTTCTGGTTCAACTGTTCACTCCCACCCAGTTTTCGACCTACCTTCGATGAGCCAGAAATTGTGGTTCCTAATATTGTAAAATGAAGTCCGGATCGACGATGCAAGTCCGCAATCACGTGTCTCGGTTTGCGACGTCGGAGACTTCGTGTCATACTTTATTTTTTAAACGGTAAACTACTCAACTGCAATTCTTTAAAACTGCCGTGATTTTTCTTCTCTGTGTGAAGAAAGTTTGGCAGAAACTTCAGGGAATGATCTCGTACGTGGTTGCGGACCTAAGCCGCACCGTCGAAATGTAACGCCGTACAAACCGCGCCGCCCGAAGCAGTATCGGTGAATTAAAAAAATTTAAAAAGCCTTCAATTTTTAGAGTATGTAATACGGGCAACCGTCAAGCACGTATACTTGTATTCAAAAATTGATTCCCGAACTTTACGTCGCTTGAGTCGCTTTCAACGTAAAATTTGGTAAAGACACGATGCTTTAGTTCGTTCACATAAAAATACTTTTTGTCTCGATAGCAATTCTTTATTGTTGATCGGATAGAAATTATTGTTAACATGAACTTACTGATACTTCTGTGGGAGCAATACTTTTGATATCGATAGCAATGCTGTATTAACACTATGACCCAAATAATTCTTACCATACAAGTGCAATTGTAAGCACGACTGGGGAAGTAGATTACACCTTAGTTTTTGAACACTTTTTTAAAATGGTTGAGTGTATTTAGATTAAGGCAATTGCTCGGTTAAATTTGGCAAAAGCTGATGTGGCTTGGTTCCTTTCTGCTAAACGCGGTCCAAATATCCAAAAATGTTGAATCTTCAGCCGTCTAGTTCCCTTTTTTTTCGGCGAGAAGGCGATGTTTCTCGATTATTTTGGCTATTAGCATCGTAGGCTGTACAGGCCTATTATGGCTATAAGTATATAGTCTCCTGTCTTTACCTTGGCGCTTCAGCGGCTCACCACACAATTTCAGTTTCCAAAAACCGGAATCGAACTCTATTACGCTCGAGCGGTAAACCTATTTATTTCGCAGCTCCATATCGAACGAACAATATGTCGCCCGGCTGACAAAAGAGCGTAAGTACACATTGAGATGAGCCCAGAAAAGCATTGAATTATATGGACGATAAGGTTCATTGCCGTTCGTAGTTACGCTTGTATGTCAGTAGGGCGTCGAATGACGGTGCAGGAGCGCTCAAAGAGAGTCATCTCCGTCGAACTTCCCTTTCTCGCGCTCATAGGATCAAAAGCTCTACAATTTTCAAATCCGCCGCACATAATTTTCCGACACGACTCACAGCACTAATAGGATTCTATACGCCGGCAGAATTTCCTCCATAATGCACTCGCTCCGTAAAGTAGATTCGTTTGTTTTAACCCGGATCAATCGATAGCCGGAATGCTGTTAGAGCCGATGTTATTATTTTTATTTCATTTGTAAGCATCTGCGATTTACGCTTCTAAAATGTGTGCCACAAACTCATTTTATTGCGCTTTTTATGTTCCGTTTGGACCGCGTTTAGAAGAAAGGAACCAAGTTACATCAGCTATTGCCAAGTTTAACTGGGAAATTTAATTTATTCCTTCAGGAGAACGTTTGTGCGGATTCCTCTGAACATTTTAAGGAAGTTGCTTCCTTCTATGCAGAAAATTCACTGATATTGGCACGAAAATCCGCACTACTTTTTGCATGTAAAAAATTAAATTCCGATTAAATTTGGCACTAACTGCTCTGGCTTGGTTCC